AGATCTTTACCGTTGTAGAAAGAAACAAAATCTGGAAGCGTTCAATTGATTTCCTCTAGGATAAAGAAAGCTCAGACTTACCACACCCATACCCTTCCCCTCTGTTTTGTGCACTCAGTGGTGTAACTTGTCCTCTGCTTTTCCTCCTTTCCTCTTTTTTTGAAGTTCCTTTGAGTTTCCAGTATAACTCAAATTAATGTTAATCTGTACGCATCACTAAGAGCACAAAACCACTCTTTTACATCACAATTCATCAGTACACACCTATGGTTTACTAATTCTAGGGTTCTGTCAAAACGTCCATTTATCGTCGAAGGCTGGAAAGTGGGAGCTGTTCCCGGGTTTGTATATTTTTACCAGTACAAATCCTAGTTCAACTTACAACAACAAACCTTGACTTGGCGTGCTTTTCATTTACTATTTTTTTAAAAAGCAGATATGAAAAGTGTATTAATTTTTATTAGAGACACTCAATGAAAATAAGCAGTATTCAGGTGTTCGGAATTTATCAAATGACCACTCGTGCAAAAGTCTAATGTTGGTGTTTGAAATAAGGGTGTCCCTGGCATCGCGTTCCCTGCTCCCCCACCCTGGCTTGACGGAGAACAAAGGCAGCATTGTGTGGGCATTTCACAGTTTATACTGGAGGTAAGTGTTTACAGCTACAGCAGGACAGAGATTTGAATGAGCGTGTAACCATTTTCAGTTCAGCTCCCATTAAAATAAAGGCTGTTCCATATACAAGGATAGAAGGGTGGATTTAAACACCCCTTGGTGACAGCAGATGAACCGACTTCAAACGGCGGAGAGAAAATGTCGCAGAAGTATGGCACAAGCTGACAGAGTGAAAGGAAGGACACAGAAACTCCAGAAAGTGGGAAAGCCGAAGGCAGACTGAGATCATCGCTGTAGTCAAAAGTGTCAAGCAAAGATACAGCTGAGCCCACTCGCAAGATTTTCCACTCCATTTTGCTAGTCACACACATGCAACCTGACAAAGTGTGAAAGGCAGTGTCTGTTTACAAGTTTATTTTTCCAGTGGTTTCCATCTTTTTTCCTTTCAATTTTCTGCAGAAATCAACTATATTGGGGCTACTGTCAATGTGAGATGAAGTGCTTCTGAGGAGAAGTTTAATGCATTTACAGAGAAGAAAGGGGAGCACTCACACCGTTAAGATGACTGTCACTGAGCTCTGCGGGCATTTAGGAGATGGAAAAACTTCAAATTAGGACTAAGCTGGACAGAGACATGAAAGATAAGGGGATGCTAAAACCTTTAGGCTAGGAGCGGAGCTTAATATTCACAAAATCCTTACAGCTTTAAGCATTAATATCAAGAAAAAATGGGGAAAATATGTCAAAAACTGTCTGGACGGAGCAATTAGATCCTAGAGCTGAATAGCTTTGTGAAAGGGAAAATAGGAGACAGTGTCTGTTTGACACCAGAGGACTAGGCTTGGTGGCTCAGGAGATCTCTTTCAGTCCTGTCTGTGTCTACAGTCCTGTCTACAGTCTGTCCTCCTAGAGTACAGTACGTGAGACAAGGCGTTTTTCTTCTCACTCTGAACATGTAGCCTTCAGGAGGCCAATAAAAGGGGACAGGCACATTGTGAGTTAGTTCAGAGATGGAGTTTATGGCCTGAACAAAAGTCCCCTGAAATCAAGGCGGTCTAACTACCATCCACACTGAGACTTGAGCTGGATGGTGTGTTGTGAATACTCAAAAATAGTAAAGCAAACAGTGAAGTTGTACATAAAGGCAGAAAAATCACTGAATCTTTCACAAAAAGCACTAGGCAAAAACAGGCAGGCCACTCTCTCACTGGGCCAGGATCAGCTATTTAAAGATTAGGAATATGAGGGTCATGCTATAGCAAGCCCATAGAACGGGCTGCCCCAAGGATTAGTGTGATGTGACTTACTGTAATTATTAGCTAGCTTGGAAGGCAGAAGGGACTGGAAGTAGCAACCAGGCACAGAACTTCAGAAGAAATTCAGTGTTGGCAAAGATAAAGTAATGTGAACAGAAGAAATGATTTAGTCTTCCCATAAACATTGCATATATTCTGTTAGGAAAAAAACTAAATGGTAGATGATAACTGAAAATCTGAAACATGGAACTGAACAGAGAGCATTATATACTCTGCGGTTGTACTCCAGATATGTTGTACTTTTATTGGTCGAAAGAATGACCCAAAGGATTTAAAAATTAATGATGAGAATGTGAAGGTGGGGAATAAGGTCAAACATACAGGTCTTGCAAAAGCTGGTGAGCCTTGCTACCTCCGTTGGTGAGTTTTGGATATCACTGATGTATTTGTAAATAAAAATATTCTCTTCAATAAATAAGTTCCACATTAGGGATAGTGGCTGGAGTGAAAGGAAAGAGCAGATCTAAAAAACCTCAATAACACTATTTTGCACACGAAGAAGCAGCACGGAATAAAGAAAGAAAATTAAACTGCTATCTTATAAACTTATCCTCGCTCAGAATCTGCTGTTTGGTTTTGATTAGCTTAACTAGAGGAAGCAAAAAGGATCCTGAGAAGGGCAACAGAAATTATTAATGGCATGGTGACTGACAAGATTGTTCAGTTTAAAAGAAAAGAAAAAGAGGTTTCATAGCAGATATAAAAAAAACCTCCAAACTGGTGATGAGCCAGGTGTCTAGCATTTCTGGGTTTTATTGTTATACAAATAATGAAAAACAAAAGATTTAAAACTATTTATTAATGAGAGAATGTAGTCAGTGAGATGCTTTGCCATAGGAGCCACAGAAGAGCTACGTGGGAGCATCCATGAAATAGGATTTAGTATAAAAAAACCCAACAAAATTAATTCTTCAGAGTGCCACTAGCCCCAAATTGTGAGGAAGAAAGGTACCCTATAGGCAATGTTTTATTAGACTCCATGAGAGATATTGCAATATAATCAGGATTAGAGCCACTTTTGAGAATTTCTGAAATTCTTTGAAACTTCTGGAACCGCTCCCTGTTTTGACTAGACGAACTAGGCTGCATTTCAGGTAAATCAATTATTTTGTTCCCAGCCTAAGGCTCCTGTTAGGAGAGTTATTTCAGCAACCTTTTGCCCAAACTACATGCAAAGTAAAAATCAAACAAGAGACTAGACTGAAGGCTCATGAATGACAAGGCTAAGAATTATTAAATAACCCAGGAAAGCTCAGTTTCAGAAGCACCTAACAGCACTATGCTAGGGGGATCAGTGGCCCTGGGGCACAGTATGGTGTGTATTAGCTGCAAAGTGAAATTGTACATTAGTTCACACTTGCAATGGTAAAGAGGAATATTAAAAGTAATCACCACAGCTTTGCTTTTTGGGAGGGAGAATAAGAAAGTTCCCTTCGTCATATCCAAGAGTGCTAACTGTGATGAAAATCTTTAGCACTCAGGGTAACAAACATTGTGTGCTTTGCTTGACTGATGAAGATTAGCTGACTTCTTCCATTAAAGAAGTTTGTCTTGTATGGGCTGAAGTGACAAGACAATAACTAAGTGCTAATTGTGCATAACCAACACTAAAGATATGCAGCCCCATTATGGCATGTAATAAATGAAGCGAACAACAGAAATATATTAGCTGCTTTAATAATGATACTAGAACCGTGGTTTGAAAAAAATAGGGATGTGAAGAGTTGAAGAAACGAAACCTAGCAGTGTGCATGTGTCTTACTTAAGTGGGTACTACGAGAGGCTCTGCCTGCCTTACTCGGAATACAGCCTCTTAGTTCTGTGGCAAGACAAAATTGATACAGGACTTTAAACAGCATTAGAACCTATAATTACTTTGCATTATTATATAGTTTAAGCAGTGGTTATTACTTGCCTGGTATTTTAATTTCCCATGCAACATGATGAAAAAGGTCAATTTGGCTTTTTTTAAAGAGCATAATTGTAGTGTGCTACACTTATTAGCAGCTGTACATTTTATGGTTCTTTAGGGATGTTTGATTTTTAAATGACTACAGTGTTACAAAATAATACACTGTAGGACAAGGTGAATTAGCAAAGCTTATTTAGAGCTGTATCTAACTTTGTTGTGTTAGACTATTATCTTCCTAATTTTTCCTTACTTCCCTAGAAATGTACATCTTCTGTTTCTTTCCCCCTGAAAATGAAAAAAGTATGAACGCTATAAAACTCTAAATAGGATCATGTAATAACTGAAAAATAACTGAAAATAATAGGTCCATTAAGGAGCGGACATAATTGGTTCGCTCCTTTCCTAGACCTCATAGAAGTCACCAGCAAGCTGCTAGCAGCTCTGGTGGAGTCCGAAACAGAGCTCTCGGTGAAATCTCTAACAGGATTTGGCCACCAGTCTGAATGCTCAGCTATAAGTTCAGCTGTATTGACGTCTGAAAAATTCAGTTGTGTACAATTCTACCATTTTTGACATTTGCTCTGCAACTGAACCATATGGGTGATGCTTCAGAACAAAGTGCCAGGTTTGGATCCCTGGTATTTTTATAACTTACAGTGAGGATGTGAAAACGAAAATATGGCATAAGAAGGCCAACGCTGCTCCAGAGAAAACGGTGGGAACAACATCTTTTAAATTTAAATGATTACAGTTTTGGCAATAGGGAGAAACAACATGTACTTTAAAAGAAATACATGTGACAAAAATGAAGAATTCAAGTGAAATTAATGCAATAATGACAAATGGTACTGCTATGCTCTTCTGCAGAAAGGGATCTCAAAGTCCTTTATAAATACTTACTAATCTTGACAGATAGCCTTTTGAAGGAGAGGAAGTAACATTATTTTTGTTTATTGACGAGGGATTTGAGGCCCAAATAGTTTTCTGGCCAAGGTCATGAAAGATGTTCTGTACCAGTCCCAGGAAAAGTATCCAGGCCTTACTCTCAATCTTGGGTTTCCTCTGTTGGTAGATGTTTCCTCTTCACTTGAACGTACGCTCACACCCATGCCGAATTAGCTCTTAGCTTATGGAACAGACCCAAGAAATTCTCTTACCTCTGATTACAAAGTTGACATGCAAAACAGTCCAGGTGATAAACGTTGTCCTTAGCTCTCATCACCATCTCAAAAGCGGGTATGAGCTTACTGCAGGCAGCACAGTTTCCTGTAACGCCGAATAAC